AAGAAAGTTGTACAACAAACACCCAAAACATAAGGTGTTCATAAGGGTGAGCCGGCTACACAGGAGCTAATCCCATCTCCAGGTAACATTGGCACAAGGCTTGTTTCCTGGATGACACATGCTCACAACAACGAGGGGGATTTTTTTCCTGGCTCAGGCTGCCTTAAGGGCAGGTCTGGTGCAGCTTGTAGAGCTGGGGATCAAACCACAGTCCCCTATGCCTGACTGAGTTTGCCCAAGCAGGTGCTTTAAACAACTGAGCTGGGGGCTGGGGAGATAGCTCAGTAGAGTAAGTGCTTGCTTGGCAAGTGCAAGGTCCTGAGTTCAAACCCCAGTTCTGGGGGAAAAAAAAAACCTGAGTGAACTCGCAAGCCCCCAACTCATAACACTGAGGACTCAAGCTGACTGTTGTCCTCCTTACACGTGATGCTGCATGTGGGCTCATCATGCTTGCTACTCCACTTTCAACAGCTCACAAAAGAGTATTTTTAATCTTTTCACACTGTGGAAATCTCTCCAGCCCCATTCATCATTTCCCCAGTCTGACCTCCCTCCACCAGTGAAATGTCAAATGTTGTTATCAGTTTTGAAAGCATCTTAAGGTGTACAGAGTTCATAGAAATTTACATTTTTATTCACTTCAGGAAGCTTGAGTTCTAACAATATTTTAAACTTGATTAGGGAAAAATATATCCCTTTTATTTAAAAAAATGCATTTCTGGGTGAGTTACAGTTACTGGACAGTAGGATAATTCTGCAGGTCACATACCTGCTCTGTGACACTGTGCCTTAGTGAGTCCAATCTCTATTATTCATCTGGCTCAGAGGAATTTTGGGAAGTGGAGCCTTTCAGAGTTAGGAAAGATATTTTGAATGTATTAGCTCAAAGGTGGGGGGAACAAGAGATGAAAAGTGAATCTCTGCCTTCCTCTTTCTCACATGAAGTAAAATAACGTGTCATTAACATGCACTCCATCCTCTACTAGGAGCACATGGCTGACATAATAACAAGGGCGAAAGCTGGATAGGGCTTAGGCTCTAATGGGCAAATAACTCTTCCCTGGTAACTCCCATGTCCTCATCTGTAAAATAAATATGTCTCAGATCTTTCATCTGTAAGATCACTCTTATGAATTCACATGCAAGATCAAGCAAATATTTTTTACTTTTTTAAAGACACTACAAATTAGTAAATAACATACACACAACAATAACAGCTCAAGACAGTTTTTCACTCAGGGGTAGAATGCCTAAATTTCATCTACTTCCAGTTATAATGTGTACATGCTCATGCAAATGGTGGTCAGAACAAAATCTCAGCAAGAAAAAGCTAAACAAGGATGGAGGATGAAACACCCCTCACAGGGTTGCTGGTGGCCATTGAGTTTCGCGATGTGACTTGATTGCGCAACCTGAGGAGCTGGCCAACTGCAGGGCAGCTTCTTACAAGGCTTTGGCATGCCCAGAACTAAGCTTGAGGTCTCTGTAGCCTGGCAGCAGCTAACAGTATCACTAACACCTACAGAAGAATGCGAGCATCTGCAGGCAGTCGCCGTGCGGCTTCATGTGTCAGCAATTGTTTCAGAGGAAACACAGACCCGGATCCAGGCTCTTCACATTTTTGCCAGGAAATGATTTTCAACTACTTTGTTTTAACACCTTCACCCCTGAATTCTTTGTAACCACAGCTGAATGCAGGGGCTACAATACACCTATCCATGCCTTTGTAAATCAACACGTGTTTATAATTTGGGATTGCTATGTGAAAACATACTTTTCTATTTATCTTTAAGTCAAACAGGTGGGCCATCTGAATGGTTTCCACAGGCCATTAAGACACACAAGCTTAGGTCCCAGGCATGGAAATCCCACTGCTGTTCTTCTCAGATCTCTCTGCCCCTGCTACTGCAATCCTCTTGGTCAATAGCTGTACAGTGGACTGTCAACCCAAGAATGTAACTAACCAATCTCAAGGCCTTCTTTGAAGGAATTTCTACTGTTTTCTCTTTCTTTTTTTCTTTCCTTCCTTCTTTCCTTCCAAACTTTCTCTCTGTTTTTGTTTTGTGAGACAAAGTCTTGCTATGTAGTTCAGGCTGGCCTTAAACTCACTATATAGTTTAGGTTGGCCTTGAACTTGCAGCCATTCTCCTGCCTCAGCCCCTCAAGAGCTTCAATTATAGATATTCACCACCTCACACAGCTTCTAACTTCCCTTTGACTTTCATAAATATAACGACAAAGAAAATATCATGTGAAAAATATACCCACAGAAATCTCTATCAACCCAACTTGGTCTTCACCATCTTCAAACCCAGTATTTGCTTGAAGTTCCTACCTTTTCCTCACAAAAGTTCCAAGTAAGAGATAGGACAGCCTGTGTTAGAACAGTGGCCAAGGAGATGGAGACAGTAGAAGGATTGGAGTAAGTTGCCAAGCTCTCTAGTAGCATGTCTAAAATTCTTGTACTGATATCAGGCAATAGGTGGGTGGAAGTGGCCATCTTGAGTCTGACTGGACTTTTCTGAGTTTGAGGGGCCTGAAGGACATGTGGAGAGAGTTGGCCAGCAGACAGATCTCCAGGCCCAGAGTTGAGGGGATAGCACTGGCTGAGGAAACTGATTGAGTCGCTGCTTTAGAGAGCTAAAGACCAGAAGGCAAACAAGAACATGGACATAAATGGTTTCCCCTCAGGCTATGGGTTTGAAGAGAGAATGCTGAAAGTTATGGAGGGGGACAGAGCAGTTCTGTTCCCTGCCAAGGCCCCAAACGGCACACTTCCTTCTGAAAAGGTTGATCTGAAGATAAGTAGAGAAAAGAAAAGGGGGTTGGTCAAATTTGTAGATTTGGGATCCTTCAAGAATGGCCAGTAATTGACTAGGAAAGCACTATCTAAATATTAAACTGCTTAAGTGTAGTAATATCTAACACTAATACAGTAAATATAGGCTAAAGGTAATAAATCAGTAAAGAAGATGGATGTGACATAAGGTGAAGGTAAATGGAGGAGTGTTAGTTAGGAACGAAAAAATGACAGAAAGGAGAGAAATCCAAATGGAAGGGCAGGAATGGAGGTCATGCACACAAATTGGAAGAGTGGCACTGAGGCTGCTCCTTGCTTGCTCACTCATGTCAGACTGCCTGACTTTTCCCCGGGAGAGATGGCCTATGCAATACGTACATTAGATATTTGCTATTTCTATAAGAAACTATGTAAATATAAGTACATGTGTCCCCAAAAGCGCAATTTTACTGAAATTATTTATGATTCACATTTTAATCTATGGTGCCAAAACCCTTTCCCCCTTTACCAGACACAGAGCTCCTTGCTCCCGTGTTCACAGAGGTCTCTCAGGGCCTCCAACTTTCTGCTCTGAGTTCTGCTCTTACACCATGAAACACCAAGGCCCATGGTCGGAAGATGCTTCAGACATGGGGCCAAACAGATGTCTGTCAGAATCAGTAACACCATGACTTTAACATTTAGAAACAATGGATTTAATAAAATGTTCTAAAATAATTAATGTATGTACATACTAATATGTATAGCGAAGCTAAAATCTAATTAAAGTTCATATACATAAAAATTATTCAAATCCATTATTCTCAAATTTATCTATCTACCTATCCACCTATGTGTTAACTTAGTTGGCTGTGTGATTTTTGACAAACAAAATTAGAAAAATTTATAATGACTAATTAATAAATCAGAACCAACCAATACTGAAAATCAAACACAGCACAGAAATAGCAATTTATGGAACAAAGAAAGCCTCCAACTCCTCAGCTTGCTGACACTATGCACTCCACTACCAGACTCCAATGGTTTCCCCATACAATTGGGTTTTGTCACATCTGATCTTAGCTATTCATTGTAATATGCTGAGAAACATTAAAACAATCACTAGTGCCTGTGTAAGAATCTGCCTAAATTCTTGACATTTTTCTCATTGTTTGCTGCAAAAACACTTGCACAGAAGGCACTCAGAATAGACACAATCAGTGAGTCACTGCCAGGCTGCATACACCCTGCCTGGTATGCACACAGGTATGTGTGCACACGTGCATCTGTGTGACGAGCTTTTTCTAGAATCAAGATGGGTTGTCTATCTGATTTCCCACCTTTTTCCTTTTCCTTTTTGCACAGCTCTGAGGATTGAATACAGAGACTCCTGCGTGCCAGGCAAGTCTTCTACTACTGAGCCACAGCCCTTTGTAGAAAATAATTGTTTTGGGGCCAGAGCTTAAGTTGGCTGGGCTGGGCTGGACTGGCCTTGCCTCAGCCTTCCAAGCAACTGGGATTACAGGTGTGTGTCACCATGCCTGCTTCTCTTTTCTTTTTTTAACACACAAGACAACATCAATTAAATAATTAAAGTGAGTTGCCAGAAATTCTGAAACATATGAATACATGAACAAAACTCTTGCTTCTAATGTCGTTCTGTAGTTTTCAGATGAACAGATTCAGAAGGGGGAAAGCTGCACATAAACAGTCTCCCAATGGCACCAGTGCCTATTGTGTCTTTAAAATACTTGGCTTAAAAATAGTTAGAATAGTAGCATTTAAAGTCAAATAGATTGAAACAGCAACTGATTAGGAAAGCGCTGCTGTTTCTTGAAATCCTCTTTTCCTCCACCTCCCCTGCCCTCCAATGCCAGAGAAGGCAGTGAGGCACTGCAATGAGAAAGTGTCATTAACATCACATTCCTCTCCTGGGGTCAACCCAATTATCAGCCTCTGGCCCACAACAAATATACCCCTTGAAGGCCAAGCACTTTATCGCTTAGCCTTTGTATGGAAAAAATACAAACAAAGATTAAGATGCCATTTAGACATCATTGGAATGTTTCATTTTTCAGTGACCCCTTCATTTAATGGATTCAATGCATTCTCATTCAATAGCGTATAAATTGCAGGAGAGACTGTAATAAATGGTATTGTCATGACCCTTAGGTTAGAGTAAAGGAATATTGGAAAATAAATCTTAATTCTGGATACTCACCAATCCAGCAATGGGGGTAGGCAATCTATTGATCTTTTTAACAAGTCCTGGCTTTATAGCATTCAGCAACCTGTCATGAAAAAGGCAGAATGTCAAGTAAGACACAAAGCAGGATGGATCACACAAATTACCTTTATCCAGAGCTACAGTAAATTGCTGACTAGGAAAAGCAGTGAATTTAAAGCATGTAGTAAATCTCAATCATCTATCAGCCTTCATGCATATAACTAGAATGCTCTGCCAACACTGGCTGTGTCCATGGCAGGTGGAGATTTAGAATTCGGAAATGTTAGCAGAGGAGAATAATAAGAAAACAGGAGGCACTTCAAGGGAATGGACAAAGACATGAGCTGGACTGAAGTAGGATGGGAACTGCCTAGAACAGAAGGCAGGTATGCAATGCACGTAAGGCTTCTTGCCAATTCTCTAGGTTAAGGCAAAGATCTCCAAGGATTCAGTAAGATCAGAGGCCAACATCCATCTTTGCAAGCGATTCACCACAGTAGACTCTATTTGCTCTTTGAGGACAGCAGCTTGTTAAATGTGGTTGAGCTTCACCAAATAGGGAAGGACATATTTAGGAAGAGGTTAACCAGTCATATCCTAAAAATTTTAAACAAGGCTGACCACGATTCCCTAGGTACAAAAAATATTTGAGCAAAAGATTTTCAGAGTAAGGTTGAACTCACATAAAAATGGTAATAATACAAGCAAGGGAATGCAAGAGAAGCAATTCAAACTGCTTGACCTCAGGTAATACAAATTCTGAATGAAGAAAAATAAAGGCAAATTGAAAAACTAAAGGTTAGCATCAGGATAAGATAGTACATTGCAGTATTTGCAAAATAGTTTATTCATGAACAAATAATTGAAAGAGGCTGTACATTCTTGAATAAACAATGGGTTACAGAAGAAATTAAAAAAGAAATGACAATTCCTAGAATTAAATAATATCAGTACAGCATACAAGAACTTACATACAAATGGAAAAAAGTCCTAAGGAAGAAGTGTATAGCTATAAACACCCACACTAGAAAAAGAGAGCAAGCCCAGATAAATACCTAAAGATACATCTCAAGGTTCCAGAGAAAGAACAATCCAAATTAGAGCCAGTACAAGAAAAATAATTATTAAAAACTGAGCAGAAATCAATGAAATGGGGCTGATGAGATAACTCAGTGCACTAAGCGCCTGCTTAGGTAAGCTCAGGGACACTAGGGTTCAATCTCCAGCACCACATGCCCCGATGGCCCCATCCTCAGGAATGCTGAGCAGGCCACAGAGTCCTGGTGTAGTTGTACATGCCTGTAATCCCAGCACTGGGAAGGCTGAAAACAGGAGGCTCACTATGAGTCTGAGTTGCATAGTGAGACCCTGTATCAAACACATAAATTAAAATTAAAAAAATCAATGAAATGGAAACAAAAAATATAATGAATCAACAAATTAAAGAGCTAGTTGAATAAAAGAGTAAAGAAAATAGACAAACCCCTACCCAATTTTACCAAAAAAGGAAAGACACAAATCACTTCAATTAGAAACAAAAAAGGTAAAATCACAATAGATACTGGCAAAATCCAGAATAATATTACTACTACTTAATAAACCTGTACACTAATAAACTGCAGAACTCAGAAAAAATGGAGATTCATAGATATAAATGAATTACCAAAACTGGACCAAGAGAACTTATAAACCTTGAGTAATCAAAAAATAGGCAACAAAACTGGAGCAATAATAAAATTCCTATGCACTAAGAGAAGCTCAGAACATGGTAGATTCACTGCTGAATTCTACAAGAATTTCAGAGAAATTGTAACACCAATGTGCGGCAAATTCTTTAGCAAAACTGAGAGAGGAGTACTGCCTAAGTCATTCCTAGAAGATAGCATTAATCCAGTTTCAAAACCAGACAAGAACCAAAGCAAAAAAGAAAGCTACAGATCTCTCTCTCTAATGAACAGACAGTGGAAATCAGAGAGTAACAAATCACCAAAAAGATCACCCACCACGAGAAAGCAGGCTTCATCCCAGGGATGATTCTACTTATGCAAATCAATACACTGTATTCGTCACAATAACAAAAGCAATGACAAAAATCACCTGGTCATCTCTACAGATGGAGAAAAAGCCTTTCACAATAACCAACATTCATTCATGACAATAACCCTGATGAAAACAGGTACAGAAGGACCTTATCTCAATCTGATAAAAGCCATTTACAACAAAGCTACAGCCAAAATCATTAAATAGAGAAAAACTGAAAGCTTTCCCTCAAAAATCAGAAACAAGAGAAGGATGTCCACTATCATCGCCTTTAATATAGCCCTTGAAATATTAGCTAGAGCAATCAGGTAAGAGAAAAAAATAAAAGGAATTTAAAAGAAAAAGAAGTTGAAGTATGATTATTTGCAGATGACATGATCTGCCATTTCCAAGAACAAAATAATTCATCTAAAGACTCCTAGAATTAATAACCAAATTCAGCAATGTAGCAGGATACAAAATCAACCCAAAATTACAGTTATTTACATTAACGATGAATTCACTCTGAAAGTAATTAAGAAAAGAATGTTATTCACAGTAGCATCAAGAAAAATTAAATACCTAGGAATTAACCTGACCAAGGGAGTGAAAGACCTCTACGAGGAAAATCGCATCACTCTCAAAAAAGAGACTGAAGAAGACATCACAAATTGTAAAGACATTCCATGTTCACGGATGGGCAGAAACAATATAGCCAAAATGTCCATATTTCCAAAATTGATATATAGCTATAACACAATCCCAATCAAAATACCCACAGCATTCCTCACTGTTCTATAGAAAAAGTCCTAGAATTTGCATGAAACTAGAATAGACCCAGGATAGCTAGGTCCCAAGAGCAAAGTAGGAGCCATCACAATTCCAGATTTGAAATTATATTAAAAAGCTACAGTGATCAAAGCAGAATCACTGCCACAAAGACAGAAACGTGGATCAATGGAACAGTACAGAGGAAGCACAAACAACCCGGAATCATTAAGCATTTGACCTTCACCAAGAAGGCCTAACATATACACAAGAGGAGAAACAGCCTCTTCAATAACTGATACTGGCAAGTCCAGATGCCCACATGCAGCAGATTTAATCTGGATACATATGCCACACCATATACTAAATTAAAATAAAAATGGATCAAAGATCTAAAATGTTAAATCACAAACATTCAATCTGCTGGAAGTTAAAACAGGTAAACGTCTTGAAGAATTAAGTATATGCAAGGACTTTCTGAACAGAACACAATGATACAGAAATAAGACCAAGAATCAACAAATAGGATCATATCAATTAAAAAAAAATCACATGAAAGGAAGGAAACCTACAGAGTGAAGAGACACCCTACAGAATCATAAAAAGTTTTTGCTAGCTGCTTCTCAGACAGAAGAGTAACATCAAGAATATATAAAGAACTCAAAACATTGGATTGCCCAGAACAAAAGACTCATTGAAAAAATAGGTATGTGAAATAATCAGACTCTTTCCTGAAGAAGTACAGATGACTAATAAATGCATGAAAAAACTTCCATCTTACTCCAGAAAAGAATGGCTATCAGGAAGAAATAGAATAATAACAAATGTTGGCAAGACTGTAAGGAAAAAGGAACCTCCCTACATTGTTGATAGGAATGTAAACTTGTACAACCACTATGAGGATCGATATGGAGATTCCTCAAAAAAATAAAAACAGGAATTTTATTTGACCCAGTGATTCTCCTTCTAGGTACAGTAACTTCACAAAAGTGTTAAAGTCATTATATTATGGTGACATAGCCATATAGAAGTATACAGCAGCATAATTTATAATAGCTAAATCTTGGGAATAGCCTAAATATCCATCAATAGATGAATGGATAAAGAAATCATGGTATTCTACATGACAGAGTACCATTCCACCATGAAAAACTTAAGACTTCTGTAAGTACATGGATGCACCTTGAGACCATAATGTTAAGTGAAATAAATCAGACAGTAAGTTTGAATACTGAATGGTTTCTCTTACCTGAGATATGTAAAGTATAAACAAAGTGCAAAATAAAGGATAAATAATAGGGAGTAAACAAATATTTTTCCAATGGGAATGAGAATAAGAGATAGAGGGGAGGAGAGAAGGAAGAGAAAAGGCTTAAAAAGAAAAAAAATGGAAATGGAGCTTTTTGGATGAGGATGGGGTAACGAGTTGGAAGAAGTAGAGGAGAAATGGATAGGAAAGGGGAAAAAAGTATTCAGATGTGCTATATGCATATACAAGCCCTACACAATAAATGTAGTTATTTTGTACTGAAAACATTCAGTAATAAAAAATACATGATGTTTTTAGGGAAAAAAATTTGGAACGGAAACATTTATTTTATGAGTGGAATAGTTAAGAAAAATTTCTGGATACCAGGCAAAGAGAAATGATTTAAAAGTCAGCAAGCTACAAGCCACTGGCCAGTGTGGCCCAACGCCTGTTCTTTTCATTGGTTTTATTGTTACACGGCCACACACACTCATTTATGTACTGCCTGCAGCATTATGTATCATCTGCAGCATATTTGTGCTATAGCAGCAGATTTCAGTAGTTAAGATAAAGAATACATGCCCCGCGAGGAATATAAATCTTTACCATTCCACCCTCTACAGAAAGTTTACTGACTTCTGTTAATTTATGCAATCCAAGATTAAGGTGAATTCTGAAGGACATACACTAGGTAGATTTCTACATGTCAGTAAAAGAAATGCTTTGAAATAGTTTGACACTACTATCTACAATATATTGAGAAATTCAAAGGTGATAAACAGGGTGATGATACAAAATGTTATAATATTTGCATATAACCTACACATTCCTTCTGTGTACTTTAAATCATCTCCCAATTGCTTAGTACTTATTACATATAAATGCTATTTTACTGTGTTACCGCATCATTTAGAGGATAATGACCAAAAAAGGCCTGTAACTTGGGCAGAACTGGGGCACTTTGAAAGGAAAATTATTACAGCTGGTTGAATTTATGAATGTAGAGGACCACCTGTGTCCTAGAGGCT